TACATTTACACTCGTCATTAGATAAAGAACACACTAGCATATAATACAACAAACATAATAAAAAAAACATATATAACACAGAATGACTGATACAATTACCAACCACTCCAACAGAAGTCGTTAAACTCATCAAATGAGAAACAAGTTAAAAAGTAACCGTAAACGATTTACATAAAGCGCATTTCCACTTGCATTCATTTCCCATTTGTAAGATGCAACTTCTGTTAAAATCGTAAAAATCCGGCTACAAATATGAAAGATAGCGTTGCACATGGGCAATCCATTTTTGACGTGCTACTTCAATTTCAGTTTATGAGAAGAATTTCATTTCAATGCTTTTCTAAATAAGAAAGTTGAAACTGCGCATGCGCAAACCTAAATTTTAAAACTAATGTTAGATTTTCCTTTGTTCCAAGCGCCTAAGTATCAAATTTCACTTAAATAGTTCCATAGATAAAAAAGTTGGCACAGCGCATTCGCAAAATAAAATTTTGAAACTAGCGGCTAGATTTTCCTTTTTTCCAAGTGCCTATGTATCACATTTCGTTTAAATTCTTCCATAAATAAAAAAGTTGGCACTGCGCATGCGCAAAACCAAATTTTGAAATTGGCGTTTGATTTTCCTTTATTCCAAGTGCCTATGAATCAAATTTCATTCAAATACTTTTATAAGTAAAAAAGTTTGCAATTCGGTTTATAAATGGTCGAGATGCGAAAAGGGCACTGTGCATTTTGAATCGATTCGATTCAACTTTTGGCATTGCGTATTATATGGTTAAAGCTATGCCCATATTGAATTTCATGCAATTCAGTTCATAACTAACGGAGATGTAAAAGCGATCGAACATTTCTAAACAAAGTTATCGTTCACATTCATACGGACAAATAGATGGACAGACAGGCAAAGGAACAGACGGAGAGACCAACCGGCAGGCGACAGATAGCAATGCAAAATTATAAACGATCTCTAGGATCGTTAATAAACGGCAAAAGTGTAAAATTATGGAACATGTAAAAAACGGTTTTTTTGTTTTTTTTATAATAACTTTTTTTGTAAGCGGTACAAAAAAAATTCCTTCCTTGGTACAAGACTCGACACCATAACGAACCAAATAGCGAAAAAAGTAGAACAATAGCTCTTAAGATAAAAAACTAGTAGCGTCGCAAAGTTAGCGGACGGACGGACGGACGGACGGACAAAGTGGCCACAATAGCGCACTTTTTTTTATTTTTGTGGAAATGCGCTAAAAAGGGTGTTGAATAAACAATTTTTTTAGTGTAATTCTAAAATCTGAGAGGGGTAGCGATCTAATCTTCGGAGGAACTATATTAAATAATGCCGATTCTAACGTCAAATCACCAGAAAACTTACTAAAAAGGTAAAAATGACGATCCTAACGCAAAACGTCACCAGAACCGTTACTAAGAAGGTAGTAATGCCGATCCGGACGCAATGCCGATTCTAACGTAAAGTCACCAGAAAAGTTACTAAAAAGGTAGAAATGCAGATCCTAACGCAAAACGTCACCAGAAAGGTTACTAAGAAAGTAGTAATGCCGATCCTAACGTAAAAAGTCACCAGAAAAGTTACTAAGAAAGTAGTAATGCCGATCTTAACGTAAAAAGTCACCAGAAAACTTACTAAAAAGGTAAAAATGCCGATCCTAACGCAAAACGTCACTAGAAAAGTTACGAAGAAAGTAGTAAAATCACCAGAAAAGTTACTAAAAAGGTAGTAATGCCGATTCTAACGTAAAGTCACCAGAAAACTTGCTAAAAAGGTAAAAATGCCGATCCTAAACGGCCCCATTCACATGCGGATATGTACGGCGGATCTATACGGCGGACAGATCCGCCTTGAGCTACACACAGGCGGATACGAGGGCGGATATGTCTGTACACAGATCACGGACAAATCTCAATAGACGAGCAGGCGGCGTTCTCTCACTATTTCAGTTCTGTAGTGCTAGCCCCTGGGTTGTGTGGTTTTGAGTGCTGTAGTAATTGCTATGGATCATAAGAAGAAACTGACAATAATTGCAGGATATATAGTTTTATGTGAAGATAGGAAACAGAAGAGATGTGGTCAAAACAGTGGTTCTTGAATCAAAAAAGTACTCTCATATGACTTTACTTAGAGATTTGGAAACGCGTCATGATTTGCACAATTTTTTGCGCATGGACAATGAGACATTTGAAACTTAAAATATGTTCGTCCAGTTATTGAGAGGAATGATGGAATGATACCCATATGAGGCAGTTACCAGTAGAGAGCGATTAATTGCCACGATACAGTACTTAGCAACTTGAAGGAATTTTGAGGAGCTACAATTCAGTTGTGCAATCTCCCCACAGCTTATCGGGAAAATTATACCTCAAACTTTCAAATAAGCCTTGGCAGAATATGCTCGGAAATGGCATAAAATTATTTCATCAGTAGTTAGGTGTGCTTGGTTGGTGGAGTAAGCACTATCATCTTTACCAGTATTTAAATTGTTCCCCAAAAATGCGCATTTTGTTCTGGAATGTTAATATCACCGTAGTCTTCCAATTTCACTTTTAAAATATCACCAAAAGGTAACTGATCGGATTGTATTTGACTAATAGTTTCACCATTAGTGGTCATTGGACATTGGTCTTTCTTTGGTCAGGTGTTATTCCGCAATTTTGCTTGTAAAGTTACCCAAACGATAATTCAAATCTGTAGCACAATTTGCGCCTACATTATATTCAAAAGTAAAAACAAAATATTTTTTAAATTACTGTTTAATTGGAGTAGGATTAATCGCATTTCCATTTTGATTTCTTAAATTTCCAAACATATTTTCAAGAAGTTTCTTTGACTAACAGTTTCACCATCAGTTCGGTGTTGTTCCGCAAATTTGCTTGTAAAGTTACCCAAAAGATCATTGAAATCTTTAGCACAATTTGCGCCTGCATTATATTCAAAGTAATATAAACAAAAACAATAGTATATTAAGATACAAGTGTATAATCAAGTCTTTAAAGCACGCGCAACGAGTTTAAGGGCACGACGCAAAGCGGAGTGCCTTTAACGTTGCAAGTGCTTTAAAGACCAATTATACACGTGTATCTTATAGTATTTTTTATTATACCTGCAGTATAATTTAAAAATAGGAAATACAATGAAGTCATATTGACGTTATACTCGAATACATGTCTAATTAAGTGGGCTGGGTGTTCGTAATTTCACGATTGCCATGGAAATGTCACTTGACGTTTGCTTATAAAAATCATCGTCTTTGTGAATTAAACGATTTCCGTTGAAAAAGATAATACACCGTCCATTAAATCGATTGTTGTAAAATCTAAACAAACGTTGGTAGGTGTAAAATCCAACTCCAGTAAAGCCTATTATAAAGAATATGAAAAGTTGTTTCCATGGATGAATAGGAAGTTACTTACGAATACAGTCTTAAATGCATCCATAATGCTGGCATATATGAAGGAAATGTCAAAGGTATTTAAATCTTCTATATTTTGGTGCATTCATTCAAAACTTTAAAGCAATGCTGCGATTAAAAAGTGGAACAGATTTGGAAGCATACCCTAAATTACGCGCGTTTGTGAAAGCTTCAACCAAAGGATAGGTACAAAAGCCAAAGAAATGTTCTGCATTTACAGAAAGCGACCTAAGAGGATTTTTTATTTCATCCAGATGACAGTTTCAAAAGTCATACTTGAAGTATCGTTACTTAGCAACTTTAAAGCACGTGTGTTTTAAAGGCCTTTTTTCGCACGCATTTGAGTGTTTAAAACGGAGATTGTGATTCAGGTATAATAAAATAGTTATTTATATAACAAGAGCGCGAAGTTCAATTTCGCGCATTGAGACTGAAGGTATTTTGACGAGGCGAAGCCGAGTTAAAATATCAGTCAAATGCGCGAAATAACTTCGCGCTAGCGTTATATACAATATTTTTTCTACAACTGAACCGATTGTTAATTAAATTGCTGTTTAAGTTCAACTTTGTCACGTGCGCGAAATACTTTTTTTCACTGTTGACGATTTCGCGCACGTTGTCAAGAGCAACCTTGCTTATTAATTAACCGATTAAAAATCTAGTACTTCGCGTTTCGAAATCCGTCAGAAAATGACAGGTTTTTTTGACAGTTGTAGAAAAAATATTTTTTTAAATGACTGTTTAATTGGAGTAGGATTAGTCGCATTTCCATTTTGATTTCTTAAATTTCCAAACATATTTTCAAGAAGTTTCTATTTTGTGATTCTATGTCCGGCAAACAAATCCGTGAAACGACTACACACGTGCGGATTTGTCGGGCTCGCTGTCCGTGATCGACGGATGGCGAGCAAGATATGTACGCCGAACAAGCGGATACACACATACGAATTGATACGGATCTGTCCCGCGTACATGTCCGCCGTACATATCCGCATGTGAATGGGACCTTTAACGCAAAACGTCACTAGAATAGTTACTAAGAAAGTAGTAAAGTCAACAGAAAAGTTACTAAAAAGGTAAAAATGCCGATCCTAACTTAAAAAGTCACCAAAAAAGTTACTAAAAAGGAAGAAATTCCGATCCTAACGCAAACGGTCACCAGAAAAGTTACTAAGAAAGTAGTGATGCCGATCCTAACGCAAATAGTAATCAGAAAAGTTACTATAAAAGGCAGTAATGCCGATCCTAAGGCAAAACGTCACCAGAAAAGTTACTAAAGACTGCATTCCCGAAATTGATTTACCCCGGACAGGTCAAAGTGCAATTGGACAAGTAGGCAGAATTGAAACTAGACCCCGAAACCACTAACAAAAACCCTATAAATAAACCACATGTCAAATCCCTTTGAACACTCCAATTAATAAGCGGTTTGTTTGGAAAATAAGAATACTAATACGGCAGCGGTTGAAATCGATTCGAGATTCTAGAAAAAAACCCATGTGATAACAAGGTAGTTAAAGAAGATGGCCGTCCTTACGTATGCATCCACTTTAAATTCAAATTATAGCCTCCAACATGAGAGAAAAGGGTATCTCGATTCAAACCGATTCTAGATAACACCAAATGCGGTTAATCGCCAGAAAGATTGAATTTTTCAAAAATGGATGAATTTTTAATTGAAGTCTCATTAAAAATAATGCACAAATCGATGCTCGTCAAACTAAAACACCTGCAATAAAAAAATGGCACATATAGTCAACTACTATAATAATTTATATGTACTTGGGAAAATAAAGCTGTTACAAACTGTAAGATAAGGGTGAAGTTCCCCATCTGCCTTACATTAGTTAGAAAGACTTTTTAAATTTGCTCTTTTGATTTCAGATGACGAAAATGCTTCAGTACATGGTATTGTAACAAAGGATGGACTATTCGACGGAATGGTATCGACGGCATCGGAAGAATACTACATAGAACCAATAAATAGATACTTGCCACACAACCAAAGCCATAAAAGCCCGTCCTTTCATTCAATTATGTATAAAACGTCGGATGTAAAAAATCCTAATTTAGAAATGCCATGTGCCTCGCATATCTTATATGTAAATAATAATCAAAATAAGTTAGATAAATTAAGTAGACGTAAACGTTGGCTATTGGAAGGCAACAGCAAGGATCCTTACGACGAATTCAGCTTTTGGCATCCGAGCAAATCGAAAAATCCCATAAGTACGTCCATCGACATACATTCGCCGTTTAATCAGCCGATCGACGAGGAGATGACTACAAGTAACAGGACTTCGTTTGACTTTAATTTTCGGCACGTTAACAAAAGGGCCACTATCGATCCGAAGAAGACAACTTGTATGCTGTACTTGCAGGCCGATCATCAGTTTTTTCAAAAGTATGGAACGGAGGAGGCTTGTATAGAGGTTATGACGAGGCACGTACAGCGAGTCAATGCTATCTATCGTACGACAGGTACTCATTTTTGTTACTTTGCTGTACAATATCAGTTATTTACGTACGAGTCAAGTAGTGTCATTTTACTGTTACATTTTTCGCAAAATCGTTATTGAAAATATTTCCAATCATTCATTATTACTGTTAATGTGTCTGCATTGACAGGCGTCTGGTATGTAACAGGAGGCAGGAAAAATGTTGTTGCCACTGTCATGGAAACTAAAATTCCCTGACATAAAATAGGCATGAAAATGACGATTTCGGGAAAAAATATTTAATTAAATTACTTAATTTTATGAATTTACTTTGGTTTATTATGCGAGTTTTTGCGCTTATCATTGCTGTTAATTTACATTCCGTAATCTCATTCTCCGGACAGGACTGTATGAAATAATTGCTCGCTTTTTTTCGCAGATTTTAATCAAGATGGAAAATTAGATAACATAACTTTTATGATTAAACGCATAAAGGTACACACAACTGAAGCGCTGAAAGATCCTTTGTACAGATATCCAAGTAATTACGGAGTTGAAAAATTTCTGGAGCTCTTTTCTGGTAAGTGCTTTTTTTCTATTTACATTTACTGCGTTTTCAGCAGGCAATCGCGTTTTGTAAAATTTCGCCGCACGAGTATTTCAATTCCCAAAATAATTAAACTGTTCGCAATCATTATTAGATAAAAGTACAATAATCCCTTTATGTGATCAATCGTAACGTAGGATAACTGGTTTTGCTCATTTTTGCGCGTGTCGAGCTTCATCCATTTATCTTCTAATCTTCTTAACAACCCCGTACTTCTCATTAAATGTATGCTGGAACAAGAAATAAAAAGAATGTTAGTAATTACTCACTAATTTCGTTCACTTTGCAAATTGATGAATACATCTACTTCTTATTTGCATAAAATTAAATGCGAAAACAAGCGACGAGGGAAATAAAATTGAAAAGTTTTATTTAAGAATGGAAATCGTTAGTATAGGGGAAGACTACGCGCTTTCGCACTTTTTTTTTGAAATTACGTTACTACCTTACCTTTTTCCCTTTCATTCTTATTAACCTGGGGAAATTTGAACAGTGTGGATAAGTGACGAACGCCCACCATTCCTCATATCCCTCACGCAATTTCATTCCAAAACAGTAACCCCAACTTTATATTAAAGGCTAATGAAAAATCAGCCTCTCCCTTCTCATAAGTCACATTTTAAAATTTCTTTCTAACTTTCCCACATAACAACGATCGCAACTCCTCGATATTACTAATTTAATCCCCCAACAACCGATTTGTACTCCCCCACAGTATTTTCTTTGTCGCAATGATCAATCGTCGGGATTAATTCGACTCGTGTCAATCGAACTCGCACACGTTTTTAATTTTCTACAATTTATACCGAAATCGTTTCCCCCTTTTTCATTTAGCCGTTACATTTTTCCCATGTATTGATTACAAATGTTGAATTATTTTATAGTCTGTTTTCCCCTGGGCTTCCGCTTTCAAAGAGAACTTTAACAATATTAAATACGTGATATAAATTCGGGCATAGATCTGAACGGGGAAATGAATTCATTACTATTGACAGATTAAATTCCGGCAATTCGTTTAGTACGCCCGTAAGTAGCCAATGGAAATTATTTATGCGTATTGACGATCACCAGATTTGAAAGTATTGGTATTGTCTTTTAAAGTTGTACAACTGATATCCGAACGTGGATCGGTCACGCAATCCTGGCCTTATTATAAATTCAGGAGCGGCGAACTAACCTGAAGTTTCTGTTCATTTGCCTTAATCTCGAAAGTTAGTGTCAAACTTTGGTGATCAAAACGTTGACGGTATATTCTGGCAGTTTCTAATTTAATGTTGCTTATGATATGTCTTTCAATCTAGCGCCGATATTCGTATTTGTTTAATGTTTTCACTTAATTAAAGTAGGACCTATAAGGTGGAGCGCAACACGTCTTTTTAGGGGAATACACGAACAACATTTTGGACAAATTTGCAACCCCCATTAGTATTTTGAGCCGCCATCTTGAATTTTGTTGCACTTCGAATTAATGCCTTTGTGGTTAAGGAATTATAATCTTCGGGGTCTTAGATGCTACTTTGTGACACCGTATATACAGGGACGTCTCTAACTGTGTATTGTTCGATAAAATTTGTTTGAACGGTTAAACATTAATGCCATTATTATTATTATTATTATTATTATTAATTTAAGAACAGCCATATTTGCAACATCTACCAACGTGATCGAAAATAAGTTTCAGGATTTGATCAAAGTTGTTGGCGTTGATTGTAACGTGTCGTCAATCAAAACTTTAACTAGCTTTAATTACGTTAACATTTAATGATTTTGTGTGCTTCGAAAGTTAAGTGGCTTAAGTTTTTATCCGGATTCCAGTGCTTTTGTTTTAAGTGGAAGTAAAATGCATGTAACTAAAGACTTTCTCTCTTATTTCTTTGTGACGTCTCTCACTTGCCAAAATTATTAGACGCGCGCTGCAAATTCATTTCAAAGTTTATCACTAACATCAGCAACTATACTTTTTTATTTTGAAATAAAACCAAAAAAATCATTAAAACTATAGTTATTTATTATTACCTATTCAAGCCTATAAAGGGATGGTAAGTTTCTCTTTATCGTTGTATAGCTTGATCCCACCTCAAAATTTGAAATGTTTGTCAAAAAAATTATCTATTATTTTGAAAATGCTTTTCCTGAAAGAATTTTTACCGATGGGGTACCCTCTACCAGAAACGTGACGTGGTTTACTGCGGAATTAAAACATATACGTAACACGGTTCAACTTGTCTCCGAGGCATACAAAACCAACCCTACTCCTGCAGCTAAGCAGCTGGTAAGTACTTGAAAACAAAAAAATTTATAAATTTAAACTTCGGGCAAGTAAAATTACAGCAAATGACTTATACGTGTCCTCCGCAGACAATAAATCTAAAGCCACGTGGAATCTCATTAACAATAAAAGAAATATTTCACCAAAATATAAATGCGAAATTGATCCTAACACAATGAACAACTTTTTCAGTAATATTGCCAGTGACATTATTAACTTGATACCAAACTCAAATCGAGACCCTTTAAAATTCATGCGTTATGTCAAGGTAGCGAAACCACGTTTCCGGTTTAACGAAGTTTCTTTCAGTGATGTGAGAGAAACAATTTCAAAAATGAGAAACAATAAGAGCAAGGACTGCTTTGGACTAAGTGCCGTAGTCATAAAAACAATTATTCACTACATCACTGTAGCCCTTACGAAAATTATTAATGCGTGCATACGAACTAATACTTTTCCTAAGGTGCTAAAAATTGCGTCAGTTGTTCCGATCCTGAAAAAGGGGAACCAAACTGATAAGAACAATTATCGTCCAATTTCAATTATATCCATATTCGCCAAAATTTTTGAAAAATGACTAGCCGACCAAATAACAAATTTTTTTAAGGTATCAACTTATTTTCCGAAAAACAATTTGTTCGCTGACGACACGTCTCTGTCAGTTAGCTGTAGATCTTTTGAAAATGCAACTTCTCTTAGCAGGGAGGTGCAAACGAAGGCCACAGAATGGTTCAATGCAAATCAATTATGTCTAAATAAGAATAAGTCTTTAAATGTTACATTTTCACTGTGCAAGTTTGACGTATCCGTCACGTCACCGAAAGTTAAGTTTCTGGGCGTACATCTTGACTATAAACTAGCATGGCATAATCATGGGGATGAAATTTCTAAAAAAAATAATTCTGGTATTTATCTGTTACGTGCGGCCTCGGGTAGTCTATCTGCAAGAATTCTTAAAACAATATACTTCTCGTTAATTCAGCCTCATATTTCTTATGGATTATTGGTATGGGGACATTCCAGTATAGCCAATCGTATTTTCGGGCTACAAAGGAGAGCCATTAGGATCATTAATAACCTTAAATATAGAGAGCAATGCAAAGACACTTTTGCATCGCTCCGTATATTAACATATCCTTGCTGGAGTGCCTTCTGTACATAAAAGCAAACATTGAAAATTTTGAGATACACTCTACGTGCCACAACTATCAGACCGTAATAGGGATAACGTAAGTCTACCTTTTGTGAGGCTGGACAGGACTACATTTTCGTTTAACTATTATTGCATACATTTATACAACGTCCTACCTTCTCAAATTAAACAACTTAACTTATTCCAATTTAAAGTAAGCCTTAAACAGTACTTGACTGCAAAAGCTTTTTACAGCATCAAGGAGTTTTTAACAAATGATTTTTCTGACTTCGGTGACAAAAAATTTTTTTCTACAAAAACCATAAATATATTTTTGCTCTAAAATAATTTGGGAAGCGAATAATCGCATGTTATGAATTTTACATTGAAATCCCTATGATGCGTTACGCAAGTCACCACCCTGTATAGTAATATTGTAACCTGTGTAATTGTTTTCGGTTGACAAGTGTTAAAAACTTTGAATGTTTTATTTACACAATATACGTTATTATTATTATTATAATACAAAACTTTTTTAATAAAAATGGCAGATATCATTAGAATGTTCAATCATTTGTTCCTTTTTATCTACCCTGGCTGTTAAAGAGATCACTTTATCTATTCTTCAATCTGTGTCAATTTAATAGATGCTATAATTTAAAGGTTCCAATATGAAAGATATGTTACTTAGAAACAGTAAATTTTTGGACAAAATTTGGGAACATGTGGGGGAAATTTTGGCTGAATAAGAAAGCTCAGAAAATGTAGGAAAATTGTAGTGAAATTTCGGAAAAGATAGGTCAATTTAATGTAATACAACAAATATGGGAAGAGTAGAGGACTTTTGAAAGAAATGGAAGAATGAATTTATGGGAAATAAGGAAGAAATTTTAGAAAAATAAAAGGCGATTTTTAAGGAAGAAGACAAGAAGCTTTTGGAAATTTCGAGGAAATCCTGTGGAAGGTATAAGAGGGTTTTGAAGAAGAAAAAATTCTCGCGGATTTTAAGGAAATTTGAACAAAAGACGACATTCTAAAATAAAAAATTTTTGACAAATGGAAAATTTTTACAAAATTATACAGGTTGTGGCACCTAAGATTCATAGGATCATAAGCTATAATTTGTGTAAGGGGATACCATTTGAAATTTGAAAAAATATGGGGTGTAGATGCTACACCCTGTGTTTATTTCATTCAAATCCGGAGAATTAAGCCCATTTTTAAAGGAAGTGTAAAAATTGTTCAAGGAGTTTTGGTTAATTTAGAGGAAATTCTGCGGAAATTTGATTAAGGAGAGTCCTAGCTACGACCTTACGACAATACGAGACAATTAGGTTCTCGAGGATTATTTTGACGAAATAGAATAGTATTTTGAGGCAACTGAGAAATGAGAAAAATAAGACACATTTTAGGGAAATATATTGATACTCAGCTTCGTAGACGAGTAAAATTGGGGACGCTTAAATCCGTACAAGTAGGTAAGTTTTGGAAAATTGGAGCTAAACTCTGGGTATTTTGATGAACTACAAAGAACTTGTAGGGAAACATAGAGAAAAAATTTATAATAAAAACTTAAGTAAAATACTGTGCCAAAGGAATTCTCGGAAAATAATTACGAAATGGGGTGACTTTCTGACGTCCCTGAAGTGAGCAGGGCATGTATGAGCTCAAAAATTGTTCAGTGTTTTATTATTTTGAGCTTTTCAACGGTACCGTTTGCAATTTTTGAGTTCCAATAGTTCGTTCACAAATCAATTTTGAAAAAATGCTCTGCTAACTTCACGTCAACTTGACAAGTACGAGCTCAAAAATTATAATTCGGTCATTATTTATCAGGTTTTTTTGAGCTTTTAAACAGTACCTATTTCAATTTTTGAGCTCTCACGGTTTTTTTACAAATCAAATTTATAAATGACCTACCAATTTCAAGTCAACTACTACAAATTAACGAAGTGCCACGAAGTCGGATGTTCGGTACGGTAGTTAGTTAGCTACAGAGTGATATTATTTGATTTGATAATAATGGCGGTAAGTATTTAACATATCATTTTTGTAATGGTTCAATTACCGTGGATAATTGTAAAATCGAATTACAGGACATAACGGTAGATTTTGCTTATCTTTTTAAAAAGTGCCAAGGTCATCTGGGTGATTTCCATCTCGGTATCAACTATCATGGTGTAGGTTTCCCAGTGATATGTGAACAAACGTGTTATATTCATGGGGTTCAATTTTCCTGATCAACATCATTTAATATTCCTGTAATTTTAGCATAGCCTGATGATGGGTAACTCATAACCCGAAATCGATCGCTTTATAGAAAAACAATAAAAACATTCGTGGTTCTTTTTAATACTTCAAATACTTCAAAAAATCACAACGGAACCAGAAAAATTCATCACATAAAAACACTATTATTTCAGGAATTTTCTCTTTTTTGATTGTAGAGAATCATTATTATTCTGGACTGATAGAGAGGGTCTGCAATCCATCCCCTTTGCTATTTATGGAGGTTTTATCAAACAATGAAAATCGAAGCGCCGACCAACAGTTTATAGATGTTGGACAGGAGGACCTTATTAGATGTCCGCTGTCCGACATACCATATGTCATCACCTTCCATCAACATCCTTACAGATTACGCGGGGTAATTAACTACAAAACTCCCATCATATCAAACGATAACGGACATTATATACTGCTATATCACCCCATGGTGTGATATAATTCATTGTAAGACACCTGCTTATTTAAATATTGATATTGATTACAAATAAAGCGTTAAGGCATTTATTGTTTTTTATTGATCCTCACATCCTTTATAGTGTGTGTTGTGTGTCGCGTTCGTATGCATTTTTTTAAGCCACGAACCGTTTAGAAACATAGTATACCGGGTTCCTTATAGATCAAGAAAGAACGCTCAGTGAACAATTGATTTTCCTGGTTAAATACCTATGTCTCCATTACGCGTGGAATTTTTTTTACTAAATGCTCCTTTTTTAAAAGTAAATGCGGTTAATACTATAATATTCATATCCTACAAGATTTGTTTATGGCACATTGATAATTTACTTGTGGTGTTTGCTCTTCAGCAAGAGACATTTAAAATGGATTTCTGAAATAACTACAAGAATTAAAAATTGGGATTGGTAGCATTAAAGCTCATAAATTTTTATCGAATTTTAATTTTTGAGCTCGTACTTGTCAAGTTGACGTGAAGTTGGGCCGTCATTTATAAGTTTGATTTGTGAAATATCCATGAGAGCTCAAAAATTGAAATAGGTACCGTTGAAAAGCTCAAAAAAAGCTCATAAATAATGACCAAATTATAATTTTTGAGCTCGTACTTGCCAAGTTGACGTGAAGTTAGCAGGTCACTTATAAATTTGATTTGTGAAATATCCATGAGAGCTCAAAAATTGAAAAAGGTACTGTTGAAAAGCTCAAAAAAGCTCATAAATAATGACCAAATTATAATTTTTGAGCTCGTACTTGCCAAGTTGACGTGAAGTTAGCAGGTCACTTATAAATTTGATTTGTGAAATATCCATGAGAGCTCAAAAATTGAAAAAGGTACTGTTGAAAAGCTCAAAAAAGCTCATAAATAATGACCAAATTATAATTTTTGAGCTCGTACTTGCCAAGTTGACGTGAAGTTAGCAGGTCACTTATAAATTTGATTTGTGAAATATCCATGAGAGCTCAAAAATTGAAATAGGTACCGGTGAAAAGCTCAAAAAAAGCTTATAAATAATGATCGAATTATAATTTTTGAGCTCGTACTTGTCAAGTTTACGTGAAGTTAGCAGAGTATTTTTTCAAAATTGATTTGTGAACGAACTATTGGAACTCAAAAATTGCAAACGGTACCGTTGAAAAGCTCAAAAAAAGCTCAAAATAATAAAACACTGAACAATTTTTGAGCTCATACATGTCCTGCTCACGTGACTTTCTGTGCAAATCCTGAGAAAATGAAAAGGGATCAGAGAAAGTAAAAGGCAAGTATAAAAATTAAAGGAAATTGTGCAGGAAATATGGGCAAATTTTGTGGATGAAGCGGGAAACGATAAGGAAATAAAAGATTTTCAAAAATTGGGAAATGGAAACAAAGTGTTGTATAGAAATTGGAAAGATCGGCAATGCGATCACCGAAAGTGTCTCTTGTATCGCGAGTATAACAACCGACATAACAAGAGGGGGTGGTCCGTTAAAAATGTCGCGGTTACGGGTTCTTTTTCGCTAATTACATTTCATTACCCACCAGTTCCTTTTTAAATCATAAGGGTCATGAGGTATTACTTTTTAGGAATCCTACTCGCTCAAAATTGGTATCATGAAATCTAACTTACATAGTTTCAACTGCTTCCTTTCCATAAAACCCACGACGTAACAGATATGCGTTACCATTAACGAAATAGCGTCGATTAACACGTGCTATATCGCAATTTATATGAAAGTCGTTAACAACTGATGCCGCAACAATTCGACTCTCCAAAATTACAATTCGTTCATTGCACAATATTGCCGCCAAATTAGTCTGATTATTTATATCCTTACATCCCGGACCGTTCAGTAATCCTCTCCAATTTCGATTAACAATTTTCTCCGCTCCACGTAATCTCTGTTAACATTTTCCCTCTGAACTCGAAGGCAATCGCCGACCTCCGTTACTCACCGTGAAATGATTGTAGACGAAACTATTTGTACGTAAGCACATAGGAAACCCTACCGTCAGCACGTCATCTATCGACCTAATGGGTATATTAGACCTGGAAGTGGCCAAACGAGATATCAATACTGCGTTTATTGATGACAGTAGAATGTACCCAGGTATTATGGAGAAGAACACGAGCATTCGTCCGGTGCAAGTTATAAGTCCCAAGTCGATTCCTGTAACGGAATTATATATTACCGTCACATAAATTTTCTTTTAACCGTCGTGTTTATCTTACCTTGATTCAGAAATCCGGAGCAAACACAAAGAAGGCAGTTGGAAAATGATACATTGCGCTCTACTTTAAATTTGGAATTGAGGAACTTAAGTGTAAACCACAGGCAAAACGTTAGAACTGCGAAAAATAACGCGCTTACGATCCATAGATTTCGACTTAAGGTCCGTATGTAACCTCCTGGAGTTGCACGTCTTTCCGGTTGTCTCATGTATAGGTAATACCTGGAAAAAATGTTAATGTGGCGTGTTTCATTGATCTCATATAAGCTGGAGCACGGTCATTTGCAAGATATGTTTTTCTTTCTTCTCTTATTATCCAATGTGGTGCAGTTATGTCATTTTTTTTATTAATTTAACCCCAGTCGTCTTTCGCCAGAACACTCAGGCTTTCCTGTTGTAGTTTTAGTAATTAACAAACGTCTAGAATGCTAGAGTAAATCTTCGAAGTAAAGTTAACATTTGTTTTGTATTACAATATGAATACATAAGAGACAACATTCTAGAGCGGCAGGGAAAACGCTCCCGGAAAAGTGTTTGGAAGTGATACGAAAAAATGTCATGGAAAATCGTGTGTATTGCTTTTGTCGATACTCAGACTCTTGAATCTGACGGTTGGTGGGAGAGAGACGGTCGCTCTACAATATAGCATCAACTTTATTAACTGAAAAGTGACCATTTTGACGAATGAGGTATAACTGTTGAAAAACTCCCCTACAACTATAAAATTTCAGGAACCTTTCTATTGACCTTCGTCTACGGAGATGATTCAATAGGTTATCATCACTATTGTAACGTAAATTTAATTACGGGCTTTATTTGCTACAACTAATTACCAATAAATTTGTAACAGTCTTGAAATGAATAGATTTATAACAGCCCAAACTATTTATTACTTCGGCGTTGAAATTAGAACTGTTGTGTATAGCAATTCGATCTACTTAATGCCGAATATTCCCGAGTGGTCGCAAACATTCCAGAACAAAATATCTCGGAAAGATTACGTCATATCCGCCTTCGTTCATTATCTCCGATGATGATGAGTCGTGGCGCCTCGATGTCTATCGGGATTTCTGGAGCATTTGCTACACTGCCCCCCTCTTAAAACTGTTGCGTTCAACAGAATTACGTCGTCCAAATACACAAGGCACCTTTTCCAGGATAAATCTCGCAAGACCGGTTCCATTAACCTCCCAAACGTCGTGGGGGCGTTACACAAACCAACGGGCATGATAGTAAATTGCCATAAACCTGAGCGTATGCTAAAGACTATCAAGCAAACAAATCAAAAGTGTTCTGCAATCGTACGCAAAACATCCAATGCATCTCCCCGCAACGCAACTATCAGGAAATTTGAGTTTGAGCTTTCATTTCACTTTCTACCCAATGAATTTTATGTTTGACATCTTGTATCTCATTTTGGACACTGTATCTCATCTTGAATCATACTTCTTATTTCTTGTTGACCAGTTTCGTCCTTTATTGTCGATGACTAATCTTTCATGGTGCCTCGATATCTATCGAGATTTCGGGAATATTCGCTACCCTATTTACGATACGTATTGATTTCTTATTTTATGTTTTTTTTTAATGCCAAACCAATGCATAACATATGTCACTATGATTTACCTTTTAAACGGAAAAGGAAAGGAACTGTGCTACGTTAATTTAGTTTTAAGTAGAGACATAAAAATGTAGATATAAATGTCAAAAGTTGCTGATAATATCGCACGTTGATTGCAGCATTATATTAACATTTTTGTGAAACGTATCGTTCTTTCTGCTGTTTAATGTGCCAATTCTGGCGGGTTAATGAATATTTCATTACACCATTTCGGATGTATGTGACAATGTAACAATACGAGGGTTGGAAAATGGCTGGCGTTGAATTACGACCCCGAACGGAACGTAACGCCGCAGTAGACAATTTCCGCGTAAATTTTCGCCTAGATCTTGCTAATTAAAAAAAGAGTAATTACCAGTTGTACAAGTATGGGTGTGAATATTCAACTCCCAGCAGATCTCTTTTCACAACCCCGGCAGCTAACATAACATCTGCATTTCCTCGCGAAATAATTGCTAATCCCGTGTCGTAATCGACGGAAATAATTTCGCTGCTGCAAAATTGTAGAAAGTAAAGTGTTTTTCGGCATTTCGTTTATTTTTATTTCGGAACTTACTTAAATTTAAGAGCGGTTTGGACAATTGACCACACGTCTCCCAAAAATCCACTTAATACGCTCGATTTATTATTCGAAATGATGTAGGGGCGCATCTAGAGATAGAGAAGGGAAGAGGATGACAATATAGATATGGTTCGACTTACGTTATCAGCGATTACTCGAACTGTTTTTCCTTCTAAAGCTTTTAAATCGGTTCCTTCAGGTTTTTTCAATGTTACATTCAGTAGCGAAATAAAGTCTTTCTGATCGCGTTTCCATATGTAAATATTTTCGCAGTTGAAGTTTCCTTTTAGGGCGGCTTTGTGACAAAAATCAGAAGGAATCGCGTCGATAGACTTCATCTGAAAGTATTCGGATATAGTTTCGGAAAAAACAAGGTAAGGTTACAGTAAAGTAATAAATGAATAGTAAACTTCGTATCGGCTCCATACTCTATAGCCTTCTGCTCTCTATTGAGCCTCCAACGTGTAGGCAAGTTGGGCCATAAAACTGCGTCTTTGTTGGGAATAAATCATCATTGATTTTGATTTATCAATTATGGATAGCCTTGGCAATATGTGGCTCATTAGTTTCCGTAATGCTCTTTGTTAAAGTTATTTTATAATTCATCGAAGAGTACGTTCTGACATATCGTGGGAAATGTATGAACTTTAGCCAGGTTAGTGAAGTAAATTGGGCCTCTTATAATCGAAGTATCGTATGGACCCTTATTTCATAATTTATATTATCACGGAAGTTGTAGTAATTCAAACAATACACGTTTCGTCACCAAAACCGTCCCCATTAGAGATTCGTATAAAGTATATAATAATGATGAGTACCTACTAATATGCCATCATTATTACACTACCCCTCAGCCTGTCTGAGGCACGTGGTAGTACAGCGGGGTCGGGCTTGCCAAGCGAAAGGGTGAGGTTTGAGCCTTGTTCCTCTAGAAGATTTTTGAAGAATTACTACATGGACTTTCCCACCGATTATAACCAAATTTGATACACATATTTTTAGACATAAACGCAAGAGCTAACTCAAAAAAATCAAAATTGGTTATTACCAATTCTTTTGGGCACATCCAGCTTCTGTTATATTGAAAAATCTCGATAAGAACTTCACTTTGATTAATTTTAAGACTGTCAGAGGCACACTTTTCACAATACCAAGGAATTGTTTGAACAACTTTTGTACCGGTCCTATAAAGACAATTCTGCCCACAAATGTCAAAATTAAATGAAAATTAATGCTCAGGGTCATAATATGGGTTTGATCCATATTTAGACATTGACAAAAATTTTCGCAACGCATGAAATCTATTGAAAAGAAATTCCTGAAATAAAGACAAACTTGCAAAGCTTGTTTTTGCATAGTACCCCGTACGCAGACTGTCGATAAATGAAATAAAAAGGTCGTCAAATTACTTACAGTTTTTAAATCGTTGTAACGCATCTGGTCACTGCGAAAACTTTAATAGACGCATAATCACAATTGAAACACAGTAACTTCCATCTCTTCACTTCTACAACTCCCTTAACCTTTCCAAACTAATTCTCGTACTTTTTGAGATGGCTTAAAACGGCAGTAGAAACACGTGCGTCTTCAAGTCAATTGGCGCTGCATTATGGCGGCGCGAATACATGATTTTGAACTGTCTGGCCGGCCGTCTGTGTACAATTGTAAATGGCGTACGGTTTCGAATTTTCCAATTCTGATTTCAGTAATAGTAATTTAAGTCTTAAAAGTATTTTTTTGCAACAAGAGACTAGTTCTCCGGCTTTAATTTATTAACGAGCGACCCAGCTCTACGTAATTTTTAACTTTCTGTCCGTCCGTCCGCTGTGTAGATGATAACTCGCAAACGGTTTCGAATTTTCCACTTTTTGTGTACAAAAATGAATAGCGATTTACATAGTTATAGGCATTAAATCAACTTGTAGCAAATATAGCGAACAAGCTCCTGGGTCACTGAAAATTTATTCAGTGCTTCCTTGGGTGAACATAACGTCATATCCGCCTTCGCTCTTTATAACCGATGATTGCTTTCATGTCGCCTCGATATCTATCGGGATTTCTGGAATATTTCCTGCAATATATTGTGGAATTTGTATTTATTCGTATGCAGTCAAACCGAACGTCAAGTTTTAATTTTCAGATTTAAAGAGGGGATAAAAGGCCAAGCTTTCGCAAGGTCAGGGATATTTAAATTTTATTCCAGCGCTAGCCGGAGGTAAGATTAATTGTGATAGGAAAATTTTTACCAGTGCCGTAGAGAGTCAATTTTATTTATTACGAAAGAGGGGCTTCAACCCTTGTAATGTAACAAATTTTTACAACTATAACCGCACGTGTTACTTCACTTTCGCTCCTGCTTTCCGGGCACTACCAACGGTCATACAGCAAACGTCCCACTAAGGGTCCCTGGTTCAAATCCTGGTTCGGGCATGGATATTTGTAAATGTATAGTGGGTTGGGTTGTTAGAACAGCCTTGTCTGAAACCCCACCCACTCAAAAATAAATAAATAAATTTCTTGCCAGACTCTATTCAGCATATCTCGTCTACTAATTTGAAATATACTGGGTATATTAACAGTTAATGTAATAACAGTAGTATAATAGGTGTAATATATAATACAATTTTAGATTTAGTTCGACTTATACACAAAATATGCGACACTTTCATGGATACACATTCATAAAACCACTTTTGAAAGCGAATACAGTTCAAACTTTGATGACTTATGAAAGAAGAATGTCGTAGAGAGGGTTACATTTTGCATCTCGCAAGGATCGCCTTTTCCATACCGGCCATCGAGAGGGGAAACCTTTATCAGCCGAAAGGGACCTCTTCCGCATCTTCCATATGTCGCCTCTGTGTTAACGACCGCCGATT